GGTTCATGGGGTCACGAAGAGTCGGACACGACTTAACAACTAAACAACAACAACAAGGGTTAATATACAAATTAAAACAACTGGGGGGAAAATATATCCCCATCTCTCTCCTTTTCAAGTTGGAGCTCTTTAGTGTAATGGCCTTGCATACAGCAACAGACCTTTATTCTAGAATTCTCATCAAGTTTATGCATTAGTAATATAGCTGTCTATAGATTTATGAGTTTATACCACAACCTTATCCTGGAAGTAAGATGACACACAGGCATAGCCCTAAATATAATGAATGAGTGCAATATATAATGCAAAGCCTGGCTCCGATGAATATTTTTCAGCCAGATGTTGCAGTATGAGAGCATGGTCAAAGCTAGAATGTCCAGCTCTAAAACTTATTTGCTCATCTGCCAAAATATGCTTCCAATCAGGCAATTTATTGTGTAGATGTTTAGCCCAGAGCTTAATTATTTTGTTTAAGAGGCTGATGGGCTGATAGATGGTCACTATAATGCTAGACCCCTTTGGTGTTTACACACAATGATAGATATGGGTGAAGAGAGAAGCAAGTACAGGGGTTCACCACTCCAAATTACTGCATAAGCTTTTATTACTTTCGAAGTAATTACCTGGGAGTTTGCCAGGCTTAAGCTGTCTTCTACGGCCTGTTATTTCAAAACTTGTAACTGGAGCCCAGTTAGAGAGCTGGCTGAGATCTGAGTCAGATTCAGGTAAGTTTTTCTGCTACCTATTTCTATAAGCCTTTTTTGCAAGTCTCTTTGTGCAAGTAATGACATAAAGCGGTCCTGGTCCTCCCACACTATTGCCAGTAAAATATAAAAGAAACGAAAGGGGCAGGATGCACGTTATGTTGTTTCCTCCATGCAGACACCTATGAATATAATGTAACTGACTTTCCAGTTTTATTTTACTCCAGCATAGACGTGTGAGTGTCAGGGGAGAGATTTTAAAGAAAATCACACATATACAAAATAGGAATAAGCTTAGAAAATTCACACATCCAGACTAGTGGGGGTTCTTTAAAAAAGCAAAACAAAATAAAAACAAGAAACTTATACAACAGAGAGGTTAAGTTTCAATAAATAAAGCACCTGGGATATATTACATTTTCCTCCTTTCTCATGCAGTAGACTGCTGCCAAAGACATCTGCCCACGACTTACTGCACATATCAAGAAGTTTAGTCCTATTATTGTAGAAAAGTGCCTGGTTTTCTGACCTGTTTTATGTATATATATCTTCATTTACTTTGTGTGTGTGTGTGTGTGTGTTCAAGTCAGTTTTGACTCCTGGAGACTGCCTGAACTAGTCCCTGCAGTTTTCTTGGTAGGGTTTTTGGGGAGTGGTTTGCCATTGCCTGCTTCCTAGGGCTGACAGAGAGTGACTGGCCCAAGGTCACCCAGCTGGCTTTGTGCCTAAGGTGGGACTAGATCTCCCAGTCTCCCAGCTTCTAGCCTGATGTCTTAACCACTACACCAAACTGGCTCTCTTCATTTACTTACTGAAGTATAATATGGCCATTGATTCATTTACTGAAGTCTAATATATTTGGTCACTTATTGAAACTTGTTTACTAGAAATTCAGTGGCATTTAAGATTCAGAAGACAATCTCTGTCATTATTTAACTTCACGGGATAGATGTTTATGTCTGTTTTTATGAAATGCTGTTATCAATCTTGGGATGTCATCCTGCAAGCAGAACATGCAGAAGTATCTGCATAGAGAAAAGGCGATCCATCCTTAGAAGATATCTCCAATGCCATTTCCGCAATGTAGATTCTTCCCTCGCAGCAGGAATGGCAGAAAGGGGAGTGTGCTGGGTCTCTTAATTCCAAAGCTTCCAAAATAGGGACATTTCTTAGTTACTCAGTTACTGCAGCCCCATTTTCCCTCCTGTTAAATACAACTGCAGGTGACTTTCATACAACTTGGCAGCACAGACCCTACAGCTTGCATACAACACACCCTCCTTCCCCTCCCTGTCTCCTCGCAAACATGAAGGAGGCACCTGAGCTTCTCTGTGATTGTTCTCTGGATGGCGAGCATGGATTCTGACTGGATGATATAAAACCATTTTTAACATAAAAAAAAGAAAGGAAACAAACCTGTGGGAAGATTGTAATATACCCTCAGCATGTATTTTGGCTAATCCCTTTTTCCGCAATATTGCTCCTTAAAATTATCTATATATTTAAAACATTAGTATACACCCCTTCGTCCAAAAGGCAGTGAATGTTTATAATATCTACATCATATCTATGTTAAAAGATAACAACAAAAGCATACCTTGAATGATAAAATGAAATTCCAGGGGCATAAAGCAAACAGAAGCATTTCTGAGAATAAACACTGTGGAGTCCTTGGGGTTCTCTGAGCTCGGTTGTTTTCTTGCAAACATTTCATTACCTGGCTAGGTAACATCTTCAGCACTGAAGGTGTTACCTAGCTGGGTAATGAAACATTTACATGAAAACAACCAAGCTCAGAGAACCCCAAGGACTCCACAGTTCAATCCTGAGCTACACATATTCTCTTCTATTAGAACAAACTTTCTTAG